CAAACATCACCCTAATGCTCTGCATCTACTAGTTTGTGAGTCGACACAATGCTCCCATGTCAGTACAGGTGTCACCACTGTCTACCGAGGAAGTGATTGAAGCACAGAGAGGTCAAACAGCCTGTCCAGGGTCAGAAAGCGAAGAGCGGCGCACCTCTTACAGGTGATTGCAAGGGTGCCTTCAGCTCTGACAATGCAAACTCAGAAGCACCCTCCACCACAGACATTTCCATAGCACACCACAAGCCTTCAGAAAGCTTTCATAAATACTGCATTCTTGAGCACAAGTTCTAAATGAGATTTTTACGTCATTTTACCACTTTGTTAAATTATTACGGACATATTAAGAGATTTCTTCAGTTCTGCAGAATTAGAACTAGAACTAGAATTTGGTCCCCAATAATTAGTCCTCTCCTCTAAATCAAGATGACTCACAATAAATAAAGTTAGAACAAAACCCAAAATTACACAAATACCACGAAGGCCTGCTTTAAAAAAATATATTTATAAGCAGTAATTTACCCACAACTCCAACATACACTATTCATGAGTGAGAAATGAAAAAAAAACGTGTAATACCACTGACTTTACAGAGTAAAATGGATCGTTGCGGGGGTGGGGGGGGTACTAAGAACAACTGTAAGCCAACCAATTAGATAACATATGAATGGCCAAATTCCCAGAAAAGACATAAACTACTGACACTGACTCAAGAAAAAACAGAAAACGTGAACAGACCTGTCACAAGTAAAGAGAAAAAATGAGTAATTAAAAAACTTCTCAGAAAGAAAAGCCCACGTGGCTCCGTCAGTGAATTCCACCAAATATTTAAAGAAGAATTAACAACTCTCCACAAAGTCTTTCAAAAATCAGAGGAAGAGGAAATACTCACTTTATGAAGCTTGTATTATTCTGATACAAAAGCCAGTTAAGGACATCCTAAGAAAAGAATACTACAGACCAATATCTCTCATGAATACAAACAAAATAATCTTTAATAAAATACTAGCAAATCAAATCCATCAATATATGAAAATGATTATACATTGTGACCAAATGGGATTTATCCCAGGAATAAAGTTAGTTTAACACCCAAACAGAATAGAATCTTTCAAGGACAAAGTCAACTTGACCATCTCAGTAGATACAGAAAAAGCATTTGACAAAATCCAACATCCTTTCATGATTAAAAAAAAGCTCAGCCAAGCAGGAGTAGAAAGGAACCTCAAAATGACAAAGGGCATTTATAAAAAACCCACAACTACCACTATATTTAATGGGGAAAGGCTGAATGCTTTCTCCCTAAGATCAGAAACAAGACAAAGATGTCCATTCTCTTCATTTCTGGGTTAACGTTGTGGTGGGGGTTCTAAGGGGGGCTAGCAGGCAAGGAAAATAAATAAAAGGCACAAGATTAATTTCAAAGAAAGAAATAAAACTATCTCCACTTGCAGATGACATGATCTTGTATACGGAAAAGCCTAAGGAATTCACTAAGTAACAATCAGAATGAGTAAACAAGGCCAGCAAGGTTGCAGGAAGTGAAATCAATACAAAGTTTGAATTGTACTTTTATATACTAGCAATGATTATTTTTTATACAGAATCAAAAAATAAACTTAGAAAATAATTCCACTTAAAATACCACAAAAAAAAAGACTATACTTTCAGGGATCATTTCTATAGTTCGTTAAAATACCACAAAAAAGAACAAAAACACTTAGGAATAAATTCAACAAAATATAAAACCTGCACTCTGAAAAAACTATAAAACATAGTTGAAAGAAATCCAGTAAGACTTACATAAATGGAAAATACCCTATGATCAAAAATTTAATATTATGATGGCAATGCCCCCAAATAGATCTACATATTTTACAGTCCCTATAATTATTCCAGCTGCCTTTTTTGAAAAAACTTACAAGCTAATCCTAAAATTCATAAGGAAATGCAAGCAACACAGAATAGCCAAAACAATTTTGAAAAAGATCTGAGTTAGAGGACCCATACCTTCTGATTTCAAAACTTACGAAAAAGCTACACTATTCAATGTAATGTCAGCCTCAAGAAAAGACATGTAGACCAATGGAGCAGAACTCAGAGCACAAATATAAATCCTTACATTTAAGGTCATTGGACAAGGGTAGCAAGACAATTCAATGGGGAAACAAAAGTCTTTTCAGTAAACAGTGCAAAAGACTGAACTTGGACTCCTTCCATATACTATATGCAAATACTAACTCAAAACAGATTATAGACTTAAATGTAAGAATTGAAATCACGAAACTCATGAGATTCCACTTCATACCTATTAGGACGGCTATAATAAAAATGACAGAGATAGTAACAAGTGTTAACAGAGATGCAGAAAAAATGGAATCTTCATACACTGCTGGTGGGAATGTAAAATGATGGTTCAGCTGCTTTGGAAAAGTGGGGCAGTTCCTCAAAATGTTACACGTGGAGTTACCACATCATTCGGTAATTCTACTCCTAAGTATCTATGCAGGAGAAATAAACACATGCATCTACAAAAACATCTGTTCAATAAAGTTCATTGCAGCATTATTCATAATAGCCAAAAAAGTAAAATGACTCAAATGCCCATGAACTGAAAAGACAAGTAAAATGTGTCACCAGATAATGGGCCATTATTTGCCAATAAAAAAGAATGAAGTACTAAAATATGGTACGACATACACGATTCTTGAAAGCATTATGCCCAGGGCAAGAAGCCAGTCACAAAAGACCATCTATATTTACATTTATATGAAATGTCCAGAAGATGAAAATCCAGAGACAGAAAGTAGATTAGTGTTTTCCTAGGGCTGCAGGGTGGGAAGTAAGGGGAAGTGACTGCTTATGGGTATGGGTTTCTTTTGGGGATGATGAAAATATCATTAAATTGATTATAGTGAGATAGTTGCAAAATTCTGTGAATATACTAATCACACTGAATTGCATGCTTTAAATGGGTTAAATGTAACGTATGGTACATAAACTGCATCTCATGAAGATGTAAACAAATAAAACAGAAATTGCTCAGCCTAGTGCCAGACGCAGAGTGCACCACAGCTTTAGTGAGGATTCTTTGTAACACGCGTTGTCAGAGACACCACTGGAGAAGGTGGTAAACTACGCCTTTTATAGGTATATTTAACAGGTGTCATATTCAAAAACAGATATTGCCTCAAAATGGAAATTTGCAAGTTGGAAGTGACTGGGTCCAAGGCCAGAGATGGCTCGTGCAGGATCCTATGCAATACGTGGTTAGGGCTAAAGCAGCCAAGAGGAGGGTACTTCTCACTAATGCACCGCATCATCTTCTGCCAACTTGCAGGTGGCCCCTGGGGAGTCCACTGAGTAAGCTCAGTAGGAGAAAGCAGGGGAACTGCCCCAGAAGGGACAGACAACCAGATTTTAGGGCCAGATTTTAGGAGGGTGAATAAGTAAGGGAGGACATTTGGTAGGAGGAAGTGGGAACTAGGAGGGGCAGGAAAAACAAAACAAAATGGCAAAGAGAAGGCAAGATGATACTAATGGGCTGCTATGGTGGTAAAAAAGCAGAAAGGTAAAATGTGAAATATATTTAAAAATGGCAATAGTATTCACTTCCTTCTTGGTACCCAAAAATACTCCTAGGAGGAAATGAGGGGCAAATAGAGAGATGTGAACTTTTTATATGGAAAGAAAAGTAAAATACATTGTAAAAAATTCTTTTAAATATTTGTAACTTTCAGAAAGTCATATTATACTCTAACTTACAGGACTTCCCACTGTGTAATTCACAGGCTTTAAATTTTTGCAACATTACACAGAAACACAACTAATAGCATTTACCAAGTGCTTACCATGTACTGGGAGTGCGTGCTGAATTTATTTCCTAATCCTCATCCTGGTGTTCAGTATTCTGAATCTCATGTTAAAGAAGAGGTAAGTGAGGTACAAAGATTAAGTAAGTTGCTCAAGGACAGAAAATCTACAAGTGGCAGAGCTGAAATTTGAAATCAGGTGCCTAATTTCGAAGTCCAGAAATTTACTATCATATACACTTGTGTGTCCCAAGTACACTATCAGTGCTCATGAAACAATTTTAGGTGGAATAGACTGGACCATCTCATATTAGCATTATCCATAAGAAGACATCAACTTCACAATACTTATATAAAGCTTTCTTTTCAAACAAATATGAAAAAAAAAGACATTAGTCAACTTTTAAAAAGAAAACAGCATAACTACTAAAAGAGAATATGGAAAAAAACTGCCTGATTTTCTGAGAAGCTGAAATTCTGAGTACCTTTAAAAAAATCTTTGTAGAGTTCTAATGTTCCTAAAATGTTCGTGTTTTAACCCCTCAAAACATATGCAACCATCCTATAAAGTACATTTTCCATTGGTTCACCCCACAAAATTTTAATATGCCTACCACTGAGCTCCCTCCCACTTCTGAGTGAACCTCTTTCTCCCTCAAGAAAGTAAAAATTCCTGACATTTATCAGATTTCTTATTTCTTCATTTTATCCTATCTTACCCTGAAGCTCCGGGACCATACAACTTAACTATCTATTTGAAGGCCCTAGAAATTTTTCTTAAGACAAAGACCTGAAGGGAACCTAGTAGGCATATGCAGCTAATTTTTAAAAGGCAGGGGTTACAGTGCTATTCCTTGAGGGCTCCTCTGTATCTGATAAGCTGCCTAACTCTGGCACCCAAATAAAGAAACTGTAATTGGCAAAGGGGAAGGACTCTGTTTCATCCTCATCCCCAAAGGGCCAAAGACTCAGCCTAGGTACTTCAGTTTCCCATGAAGAGACACCTCTAATACTTTGGAGATAGTATCACAGGCAAACAAAACCATCTCTGGCTTTTCCATACAGAGCGAACAGATTCAGAACTCTTAGTTTTTAGGCAAGTCCTCTTTCTGATAATGGCTCAGGGGGCACTTTACTTTTTGTCAACCTCCAGATGCCAGTTACCAGGCCAAGGTGGCCCTCACCCACCTGTGCATGTTCCCATTGGTGGTAAAAGACTGGCCACACACAGTGCACTTGTAAGGCCTCTCGCCAGAGTGCACCAGCATGTGGCGGTCCAGGGAGCTGGCTGAGCTCAGCGACTTCCCGCAGATGCTGCATGAATGGTCTGCCCCTCCAGTGTCCGTGTTGTGCTGCAGAAAGCAATCACCGCAGTGGTCACTTCGGGTGGGTCAAAACTTGAAAATGCAAATTTAGATATAATAAAACCAGTAAAAGTTCTCAGCTATTTTTTTTCTGTTTCATTTTAAATATCTTCCCAAATGTCAAAATCTATCAGGAACACAGGCAGATATACATTCTGTACAATTTTCTTCTAACCCCCTGTTTGTTTTGAAAAGTACTTCTGCAAGGCTCAGAGAGAGCTGGAATCTTTGAAGGTCTTTCTTGGAGACACATATAGGTTAACTGACCACATATATCACATGAACAGGAAAACTCAACTATGAAGCAAGTGTGTGAAATACGGTCCTCATGTTAAGTCAGCATCCGTTCCCCAAGTCTGACGACTCAGGCTTACTGCCAGGGGAAGAGAACTGAAATCTGCACAGTTTGGGGAGGCCTGACAGCTGAAACATGTTAAGAAGGAATCTACTTATCCAAACCCAGTTACTAAATGATGTTATTATTCAGTATCATGTTATAATTTTAATAATGGCACTCCTTCACTGTTCCAGATTTATCGATGATTCATCACGAATCGTTATAGCAGGCGAAGGAGAAGGAAAAAAAATCTCATTATAAAGGAGAAAAGCCAAGAGATTCCCAAATCAAGTCAATTCCCTGCTGCGTGACGTAAGGTTGTAACAGTATAAAGAGCAGGGGTGTACAACTACAGTCTCACTGTACTGTAAGAGATTTGGTTCATACTGACAAGCCATGTACGATGCAAAGTCTTCTGTTATATGTGGTCAGTTAATGCAATATTTGCTAAATTCTGAAAAGGTATTCTGTACTGATCTGGGACTTTGTCACAGTAACACGGACACAAAAATTACTTCATAACCACCTCTCGAAATAATTAAAATAGTAAATGTAAATTAAACACAGCCACAATTCATACACTGAAATCCAATCACCTTGCCCTCTTAATAAATGATTACAACAAAAATATAAAAGCAGCGCAAACCTGACGAATGTGCATAGTTAACTGATGCTGTGTAGTGCAAATCTTTTCACACAGGGGACAGTTATAGGAAGACTTCTCCTCTTTCGTTTCCTGCAAAGATACAATAAAAGGGAGAATCACTTTCACCTCGGTGCACGAGCGCCTCTTTGTCTCTGTTCTGAGCACCCGTGTCTCAAGCTGCAAGGGAACAGCTGCGAGGAGGGGCTCAGGAGCCTGCCTGGTGTTCTGAGCCTGGGCAAGTTGCCGTCCGCTGGCCCTCAGTTTCCTCATGTAAAATGGTAAGAATAATGGCTTCTATCGCATCACCCTGTGATGCAGACTAACTCAGTCAACACGCACAAAGCACAGGAACAGTGCCAGGCACAGGGTAAGTGCTCAATAAATATTAGTGCTCTTATTAGACAGATACCATTTAATGAGTCGTCAGTGATGGTGGAAAACAAAGCATCAAGTCGTGGCAGAGGTAGGAAAGGAATCCCCTCCCGATCTAACCAGGCTCCGGCCACTCTTCCACCCGTGGGATGGGATGAAGTTCTCATGATAAAGACCCACCCTCCCAACAGTGGGAGGCCTCGGGGCCCAGCTGGGTGCCCAACAGGCATGAACATGACCCCTTTCACTCCCTGTTGGTGCCTGGTTAACACTGCTCACAATATTTAGTAAGTAAGAATCAGAATGCTGCCCCGTGGAAACTATGATAAAGAATGACAGTGCAAACTGAAGGCTTCCACAGAGGTGACAAAAGAACCAGCTCGCTACTTGGAAAAGGGGCTCATTTTATACATAGGACAGGCTTCCTTCACACAATGTATTTTACCTTTTAATGGAAAATGACAGGCTCCTTCTCTACTTATACAACTTTTCTTTCAAATCCTACATGGACAGTTGTCATGGGCATGCCTGTCATACACACTTCATACACTCAACCCCGAGGCACCACAGGTCTCCGTCCTCATCCCCAAAACTAACGGGATCAAGGCCTGGGCACCTCTCCCCAGGAATGTAGAACTGAGATGCCGAGAGACTAAGATCCATGGGTTTCCAAAGATCAGACGAATCACCCGGGGAGCTTTCTGAACTACAGATTTCTAGATCAGACACACAACAGGCTGAATCAGAATCACTGGGGTGTGGGCAGCTGAACCCCTGCAGTGTTCCACAAGCTCCCAGGAGACCCTGGTATGTGCCCAGGTTTGGGGATGACTAAGATACTAAGTTGGGTGATCACCAGCACTTGAATTGAAAGTTCACGCAGGGTTGGGGCCAGACCCAGAGGTGTGGTGAGCCCAAGCCACACACACAACCAGGGAAGCTGTCTGTGCTGACGGAAGTGGGAGACCAGGCAGGCCCAGACAGAGGGAGGGCTGGACTGGCGGGCATCTTTCAATAGCCTTCTTTTTCCTTGTGCTCATCTGAATGAGTTTCTGTTCCCTGAAAATAGTATCAATTATTAAACACTTATGATGTGCTAAACTCTATATATAAAGGTGTCAGGTTTTTCACAACCGCTAAGACACATCCACTATTACAGGTCCCTTTTTCTGGATGAGGAAACTGAGGTACAGAGTGGCAAGTAACCTGCTCCAAATCAGAGAACTGTTACAGAGACTCAGGACTGAAACCCAGGCCAGCTTCTCAACAGGCCATGCTAATCACTGTGCTATATAAATCTGACACACACACACACACAAAGACGAACCCCAAGGCACAGAAAGGAAACACCCATGTGGTTGGCTATGAGAGATGATGAAAACAAAAGTCACCCTGAAGACTATAAAAACAAATGGCAGCACCATAAACCAGATGGGGTGGAGCGAATGCACGATGATGTCTAGTACATAGCTGCCTACAGTGATTCCCGCTCACGCTTCAAAGACCGGCAGGCCTCATTTTAAGCACTCCAGTAGTGCCCCCTTCGCTTTTCAGAGTTTCAGCTACCCATGGTCAACCCCCATTCAAAAATATTAAATGAAAAATTCCAGAAATAAGCGATTCATACATTTTAAATTGCACGCCATTCTGGGTAGTGTGATGACATCTCACGCCATCCTGCTGTCTGGCTGGGACGTGAATCATCCCTTTGTTCAGCTTCTCTATGCTGTATACACATTTGTCACTTAGTAGCTATCTTGGTGATCAGATCGAATGTTGAGGTATCACAGTGCTTATGTTCAAGCAGCCCTTATTTTACCCTGTAATGCTCCAAAGTGCAAGAGTAGTGATCTGGCAATTCAAATATGCCAAAGAGAAGTCATGAAGTGCTTCCTTTGAGTGAAAAGATTTGTATGTATAGGAAAAAGCACAGTGCTGTAAATAAGGGTTCAGCACTATCCGTAGTTTCAGGCATCCACTGGGGATCCTGCGAAGTATCCTCTGTGGCTAAGGAGAGGATACTGGACAAACCTCTTTCTAGTCTGTGGCACTGGGTCTGAGAACTAGGTATGCTACACATTCTTTACTCTCAAATTTTAAAAACTTACAGACATGAATTCTAAGGAAGCTGATTAACCTAGAAAAACTAAAACCTGCCAGACTCCATGAGTCATCCTCAGAATCCCCCTCCTGGCGGACGTCCGATGCACGTGCCTGGGGCGCGGTGGGGGCACCCTGCCTCCTCAGTCCAGTTCCCCCACGGTCAGAATGGCACTGGCCAAGAACCACCAAAGGAAAAAACCAAAAACAAAAGTAGCAATGACAAAATAAGAGCACTCACTATAGTAATGAGAAATGTCTCATAGCCAGGCCAAAACGCAGTCTTGGGTATTTTTGTTGAATTATTAGATTAGCGACACTACATATAAAAAAAAATTAGAGGAATATTCATCAGTAGGATGTAAATAAATGTTAAAAAGCCAGGTCTCCAAGTGACCGGCTTCTGGAGGAGGCAAAAAATTTTTTAAAAGATTCATCTTTCATTCACCTCGAGGTAGATGGCGCTAACCGGCATTGCTCCTGGGGTTTACCATGAACTGGAACCCCAGCGTTCTCTGAGGCTGGCAGTAGCATGCTGCAGACCAGACCAGAGACCCCAAAAATCCACAGGGCTCTGGGAGAAGGATGTCTGTGAACTCAGACTTTATTTTTATAAACAAACCAAACAGAAAAGACAGCATCATGATGCTGCAAGAAGCGCTGCAGGAGAAGTCTGAATCCAGTTAGTGGGGCCATGCTAGTGGAAAGAGCACACTTCCTGAGATGACAGATAAAATTAGCAGCTAATGTGGTAACTAACCATCCCATAATGAAACAGTCTGGCACCTGTGTCAGCGTCCGGCTGTGGCTAATCTGTCCTGGAACTCGGTGGTAGCACCCATGGGACTCCTCCCCAGCGCTCCCTCGCAGCCCTCCACCGCACTCCCAGGTCAGGCTGAGGCATGCGCTCCCCTCCGACTGCATTCTGCTTTAGTTTGTTCTTCCAATGCACCCAACTTCCCCATGGTACCTGTGGCCTAAGCTTCCCTTTCAAACACTAAGCCAGTGCCCAGGAACCTGGAGGCACAGGAGGCAGATGAAAATAGCCCAGGCACACACCTGTACCATCTGCTTCACCACACGTGCACAGTCAGCCCCAATTAACATGCAGGGACAGAAGGGCTCTACCCACTGTCTCTGAACCACTGGGAAACACCCAGAGCCTGGACCTGCACCACCTCTGCCTAAGCTGGGCTATTTAAGGAGGAGGTGATCGCCACCTACCACTTTCTCTTGCGAGAACAGAGAAGGAAGAGGAGACAATGACCTTATCTATCTCATTCGCCCTGAAATGCCTGACACCCAGGTGCAGTACTTGGCTGGAAGCCGGAGCGGGTATGTACTGTGAATTGAGTGAATGGGTGGAGAGATGAACAAATAGATGGAAGGAAAGACGGTCGTGTGAGAGTGGAAGTAAACCTTTTCTTCCCAGAGCTAGTGCTCCTTCTTGACTCAGGCCACAGTCATACAGGCTGAGTATTTTCTCAGGGACCCATAGGAAGAGAAGCATGTAGAGACAAGGGAAAAAAAGAGAAAAAGGTATCAATGCTCCAACCCTGAAACAGTTTAACTCTGCCAAGTCTTCAGCCTTGAGAAAGGAGTGAAGAAAATGAAGACTCCCATGCTGTGGAGGGATTTTAGGTTGGCACAACTTTTCCTGGAGGATAAGTTATATCAAAAGCCTTACTTAATGTTTTACTTCTAAGAATTTATAGAAAATCATTATAGATGTGCTCGGACAACTCTGGATAAGGGTAGTCACTGTAAGATTGTTAGTTAAAAGAAATTATTCCCAAAAGCCCAACAGGCTTACTTTCATCTCCATCCCTGGTATCTAGGCAAACTCTTAAGACTGCCTATTTGCTAAGGGTTTGGTATGAGCCCAGTAAATCAGTCAAACCAAAAATCAAATGTGGAGGAGCTAGTTCATATGATATAGATTCAGAGAAGAAATGAGATCTAGTTACTCTCATTCCTTGAGCTTTGTTGCAACGGTGCTAACAGGAATGCAACCACTTTGCAAGTGCCCCCTTGGGACGTCATTTAAAGGTTCACCTCATTTCCCCAGGGAGGAGACACGGGCTTTCGCTGCCCCACTAGTCCTCCCAGCCCTGCCCACTCGTTACTCTCTCCTTCTTCTCCTGACCCGATGCCCGCTAAAGGTTCAAAAGGACTAACTCGCCTCTGATGTGGAATTCTCTGCAGCCAAATTCTGTGCTTCGTCACGGGTGGAAAGCCGGGGAGCAGCCCCAGCACGACCAGTGCTTATTTTTTTCCTAATCTGAAGACGTAAAAAAAAAAAAAAAAAAAAAAAAGCCAATAAGGTGGCTTTGAAAACAAAATTAACTGTTTTTGTAAGTAAGGTAAGTAAGGAAATGAACCACCTCACAGTAGAGGACTAGGTTCTGTGTCTTGAACACCAAATGAAGAAAGCTGACATTCAAATGAATTTACAGGGCAGAGAATCAGGGTGTCTTCACCCACACTGATACCACAGCACAGAAAATTTTCTCCATGAGTCAAGGAAACTGAAGTAAGCCATGAAAAGTTTGCACTTGAAAAATTATTACAACCTCTGGGTATGTCTATTTACTTCTCAGTATGAGGGGAGACCCCCCCCAAAAAAAAACTGGAATTATCTTCTGGACAGCGAGCCCCTTGTATAGTACAGGCTTCCCCCAGCTAGGTGAGTGTTCTAGGAACCCATCTGTATCAGTGCACCAGCTGGGGATGTTCTGAGAGGCTGCACTGGCCTTCAGTAAGTTTAAAACTCTTTCAGAAAGTTTACCTACTTTATGATGGGTGATTTAAAGCGCACCTGCCCACATCAAACTGAGTGTTCAGCAGTTTTTGACCAAAAACATCACGACCCCCGTGCTCCACCCTCCCTATTCATTTGATCTCCCGCAAGCGACTTTGCTTGTTTCCCTGGATGAAAAAAGTCCTCAAAGGGAAACATTTTGCTGGTGTGGAGAAGGTGAAACAAAAAAATGGCAGTTACACTAAAAAGCATCAAAATTGATGAATTAAAAAATTGTTTTGAGCCCTGGCTGGCGTAACTCAGTGGATTGAGCGCGGGCCTGCAAACCAAAGGATCGTGGTTTGATTCCCAGTCAGGGCACATGCCTGGGCTGCAGGCCAGTTCCCAGCAGGGGATGCACGAGAGGCAAACATACATTGATATTTCTCTCCCTCTCTCCTTCCCTTCCCCTCTAAAGATAAATAAATAAATCTTAAAAACAAACAAACAAAAAAGCCCTGTTTTGATAAGTGGAAAAAACATTTTGATAGGTGTATTACATCAAGTGGAGAATACTTTGAAAGGTGAGTGAAGTTTAAACATGTAATACAGAATTTTTTATAAATAAATTCCGGGTTTTTTGAGGGGTTCCTTCTTGCACATCCAAGATTTTGTCTCAGGAAGCTGAGGATCAAGGAAACATCCATCTCCCAATGTTCTGAGACGGAAGCCACCAGATGTCACCACCTAGCGCACACGAAGCTTACCTGGTTCCTTCGGCCAATCCGATTTGGTCCTGGTGGCTTCGTGGGGGACTTGATGCTCTGTGGGCTCCCGCCATTCTCGGCGACCTTCCCTACACTCATTACCGCTGACATCATGGTGTTGATGGAAGACAAGTCTGAACCTTCCAAGCCAATGGGCGAACTTGACGTCATTGGGACAAGGGTTATGCGTCTAAGAAGCCTCTGCCATAGAACTGAAAATCGGAAATTGCTGATGTCATCGCTGGCACATTTAGGCTCCTGCCAGAGCCAGTGGCACTGGCCAAGGCTACCATACTCTAAGTCAGGCCAAAACGCCGACAGCCCGCCGTCTTCAGTTCAAACCAAGACTCATATCCAGAACGACCTGAGCTTTCATCTAAATGAAGTGTTGTCACACCAAACTATAACCTCGCTCCTTTCTAAGCTCGTGCCACTGACACAACTCCCCAAGCCACCTGAGGCAGGTCTCTTTGCCTTTCCTGATCTTTCACTAGGCAGAATGGCAAAGGCTGAGCCAACGATTAGAAAGCCCAGGGTGCTTACGCATTCACTACTACAGGAATGGTGGAGACCTGACAGCTGGGAACCGTCAGGCTTTACTCGACTCCACTGCTGCAACCCAGTGATTTCAATAAGGAGCCCAAATTGTGTAAGACAACTGAGATACAAACCCTGTCAAGATTATAACCAAATTTCAACTTAACATAAAAAAGGCTGCTTCTTAAAAAATACAAATAGGTAATATACCTATACCCCAGAAAATGGACAGAAGAAAACCCAGCCCCCACTGCCAATTACCTCCATTTTCTGCCCCAACTGATATACTATGAGATTTCTCCTTGCTATAGCTATCATCCACGCAGAGTAGGAAATGAGTCTGTGCTTCACTCCTTTTTTCTTGTCTTGATATCACTCGTTGACACTGGAAGGGAAGCAAAGGCAAAATGATTCAATGCATATCTTTTCATTTAGTTGAAGAAAAAAAATGAAGCCATGTATTGGCTACAATCTCAGACCACAATATTCACAAAGAACACATGGAGCACAAATGAGGAGATATTCACAAGGAGATTTTTAAGTCTCCTTTTTCTTCAAAACCATATTTTATGGTTGTTTTCCAACCTTCACTGATGTTCTGTATGGTGCTGTCACCCTTAGTCCCAACAGCCAAAAGGGTTTTGTGGTAATTTACTTTCTGAAGCATAAGTGTCAAATTTCCTTTCCTACTCTATCCCATAACCCATAAGGACTCTCAGACTCTGACTTGACTGTCCTCCTACCTCTGCCTAAAACGGGCCAAAGACAAGGCAGTTGAGGAAGGAATTCAGTGAAGGCCCACAGTCTGGAAGGTATAGGTCAGACCTAAAGGAAAGCAGGTAATGTGAAAAGAATGACCAAAGGGAACAAACACTGTGGCACATGGCCACATCAAAACCTGCCTCTTTGGCCCTTCCCTAGTTACACTCCATGCGAGCAGAAGGATGATGGCTATAGGCATGGCCAGCTATGAGTTCACAGGTCAGGGATTTCCTTCCTTTTATGCCGGAAGATATTTTATTGCTGCAGCCCTGCCAGTGAGCCACATACCCGGCTATCCCACAGCGTGCGTCGGTGAATTTAACAGCTCACCACTGCAGTCAATGATCACACTCATTAGCTCAGCAGCACAGTGAATGCTTAGGAAGAACACCAGAAAGAATATGATTTCTAGTGGTTTCTTCCTCCAACTTTAGGCAATGAGACCTAGGACAGTACAAATGGCAACACCCACAGCAGCTACAAGTGTGTGCAATACCAGAGCAGGAAAGGCCTGGGAATATAACTTCATTAAGTGATGTTGCCATCAATTCAGAAGTCCCAAGCTAAAATCCTACCAGGAAAATCACTAAAGATCTCAGGAACAGGGCTTTTCTTGTCAATGAGGCAAGAGATCCTTTCTTCTCCAACACCCCTCACATATTTCCTCATAAAGAAAGGAAAAGCTATTAGTAGAGCAGATCCCTTGCTGCGATCTACGGAAAGTCAACCCTCGACACAAGGGTTTGAAGAAAAGAAAGGAAAGTTATGATCAAAATTAAACAAAACAAGCCCAACTGTCATTTTTACATGAAGTTTCCCCATGCTAGAAGACCATTTAAACTTATTAAAGATTGTGCTTCAAACTTTCCATTTTTAACTGTCTTTGAAAGTTTATTTGGGAGATTTCTCTTTGCAGAAGACCATGTGACACAAGTGCACACATGTAAGTGCACATGCACCTCACTTCTTTATAACATGGTTTTAACTAAAGTATCATGGGTCCCCTGGAACTGTTGTGATCAACCAGCATGTAATTACTGCTTGAGCCAAATAAGTAGACATCTTCAATCCCCAAATCATCTTCATTCTTTAAATATACTTCCCCCATCGTTTTAATGTACATCAAATTATAAAATAGCTGACTAGTAATCTTTACTATAATTATGTCAATAAAAAGAAAATTAACCTTTCTACCAATTTATAAGAGCTTAGAAGGCGATCTTGCTTTTGTCCTATGACTCTACTTAGAAAAATGTAGTAGAGTCCACTCAAATCTGAAAATAGGTTAAACACCTTTAAAACTAAAGTTTTAAGTTAAAATAAAAATCATTTTTTATTATTTTTGAAGATTTTATTTATTTATTTTTAGAGAGGGGGAAGAGAAGGAAAAAAGAGAGGGAGAGAAACATCAATGTGTGGTTGCTTCTCATGCGCCCCCTACTGGGGACCTGGCCCACAACCCAGGCATGTGCCCTATACTGGGAATTGAACAGGAGACCTTTCGGTTCACAGGCCTGTACTTAATCCCCTGAGCTACACCAGTCAGGGCTAAAGAACATATTTTAGTTCTATCAACATGTAAGGAAAGAAAGTGAAGAGGAGGAAAACAGTCAATATGAAATTAACAAAAATATATTCAGTAAACTGAGCCAATCTGCTGGTAAGAATTTTTGTTGCAGTCCCTATAACATCAAAGACACATTCTTGCAAACTTCGTGTAGTAAATACAGAATGCCTAGCAATAGCCACAACAGTTAATCTGCATAAGGGCTGAAAGTCACAAGGGCTTGTCCTAACTGGAAAAGGAAAAAAGTCACATAAACTTGTTTCCCATTACATCCAGACAAGAAGACACTTGCTTAGTTTACTTCCTCCTTTGGGATGAAGCATGACGTTACCTACCCATTGATGACACTGAGATCACTTACATTTACTTCCTTTTCCTGGTTTAAAGGTAAGTAAATAGCAATTTAAAAAAAACAATGGAGATTTCTCTCTCATCTCTGTTCTGAAAATGCAGTTAACAAAACAAAATGACTTCTGGCCCAGATGGAGGCGTAGGTAGAAACACTGTGCCTCCTCTCACAACCAAACTTAAAGACAACAAAGATTTAGAAACAAAAATGCAACCAAACAGACAGAAAAGTAAACTGTACCAAAGTCTGACAACAACGAACCATTCATCCAGACTGGTAAGAGGGGCGGAGTTGGCAGCGGAGAGGGAGTCGGCAGCGGAGAGGGGTCCGGGCAGGAGGAGGCGGTGGTTGGTGACCCGGGCGGGCCCAGACGGAAACCCAGGAAAGCTTGCAAGATGGCTGGCTGACCACGGACACACATTTGCGCGCAGATAAACCAGGCAGGTTTAAAAACAGTCAGTGAGACAGACCATGCAACCCAGGGCCCCAGCGATGAGAAATAAAGCCTAAAAGCACCGATTGAAAAAACTTTTGGGGGCTGAGGTGCAGGGAGAAGCTCCTAGCCCCACAGGAGAGTTTGCTGGGGAGACCCACAGAGTCCTAGAACAAACACAAGCCCACCCACCCAGGAACCAACACCAGAAGGGCCCCATTTGCTTGTGGGAAGCGGCAGAGGGGACCGAAATCCGAGAGAGAGTGGAAAAAATGCCACAGCTCCCTCTCTGACCCCGCCCCCAGTCACAACCCAGTGACTGGGTAGACCTGCCCTGGTGAACACCTAAGGCTCCACCCCTCATACCTAACAGGCGCGACCTGATGGAAGCATTATGGCTCAAGCAGAAGAACAAATCAAAGCCCAGAGCCAATACTTCTAAGTGACCAAGAAATAGCCAACCTATCAGATGCACAGTTCCAAACACCGGTGATCAGGATGCTCACTGAACTGGTTGATTTTAGTTGCAAATTAGATGAAAAAATGAAGGCTACACTAAGTGAAATGAAGCAAATTGCACAGGGAACCAATAGTGATGGGAAGGAAACTGGGACTCAAATCAAGTGAGTGGACCAGAAGGAAGAAAGAAACAACCAAACAGAAAAAAAATGAACAAACAAAAATTCAAAAAAATGAGGAGAGGCTTAGGAACCTCCAGGACATCTCTAAACGTTCCAACATCTGAATTATAGGGGTACCAGAAGGGGAAGAGGAAGAGCAACAAATGGAAAACTTATTTGAACAAATAATAAAGGAGAACTCCCCCAATCTGGCAAAGGAAATAGACTTCCAGGAAGTCCAGGAAGCTCAGACAGTGTCCCAAGGAAGTTGGACCCAAGAAAGAACACACACCAAGGCACATCATAATTACATTAGCCAAGATTAAAATGAAGGAGAGAATCCTAGAAGCGGCAAGAGATAAGGGGACAGTCACCTACAAAGGACTTCCCATCTGACTGTCAGCTGATTTCTCAAAAGAGACCTTGCGGGCAAGAGGGGGCTAGAAAGAAGTATTCCAAGTCATGAAATCCAAAGACCTACATCCAAGATTGCTCTATCCAGCAAAGCTATCATTTAGAATGGAAGGGCAGATAAAGCACTTCCCAGATGAGGTCAAGTTAAAGGAGTTCATCATCACCAAGACCTCATTATGTGAAATTTTAAAGAGACTTATCTAAGAAAAAGAAGATAAAAAAGATGAACATTGAAAGGACAGCAAACTCACAGTTATTAACAACCACACCTAAAACAAAAGCAAACTAAGAGGACAGCTAGATCTGGAGCAGAACCACAGAAATGGAGATCACCAGGAGGGTTAGCAACAGGGGAGTGGGAGAAGGTGAAGGGGGGAGAAGGTACAGAAAATAAGTAGCATAGATGGTAGGTAGAAAATACATAGGGGGGAGGGCAAGAATAATATGAGAAATATAGAATCTAAAGAACTTGAGGCACATAGACATGAACTAAAGGGAGGGAATGGGGAAGGGGTGTGTAGGATGGAGGGGAATGAAGGGGGGGGAAATGGAACAACTGTAATGGCATAATCAATAAAATATATAATAATACTAACAATAATAATAATAATAATAATAAAAAGAATGGAAGGATAAAAACAAAAAACTCCCAGCCACACTCTTTGAAGAATCACTATACACAGGCCTGAAGAGCTGTTTCGGAAGCGACCCAAACCAGCCCCTTGGAGCTATTTGCAAGATTTTACTCCGGTTCACTCTTATACTTGAATTCTCCACTGGGATGATGGTGATGGAGCAGGGAAGAAGGGGAAGAACCTGGTGTGGAACACAATGTAGTACACTGCTCCACGCTGGGAAAAAACTACTTTAACACTGAGCTCATTTATGCGCTAATTTAACCAAAGGCCAGTTGGTCAGTATCAGTCATTTCTACCTACCCAACGCCTGTACCCTGACTATATTGGAGTAGTAACTCAAAAACTAATGAACCGTTACTGATACTCAATTGTAGGGAATGAAAGACAAGTTTAACAGTTTAAGATCCATTTACAAAGCACATTTTTCTTTCTTGATATTTATATAGTCTTAGTATTTTTATTCTCTTTGTCGTCCCATTTCTTCTCCCTGAGAGCATCCTGCACATCAGCCTCACCACTGTAGATAGTAATAATAATAATAAATTAAATAAAAATAAAAATCACTGTCTCCATGCTAATATAATCTCCTCCAACTGGATCAGAGGTGCCTGGGAACCCAGGTGAAATTCCCAAATCACAGGTATGAAAAGAAATCATCATCCTCATTGACGTGGCCCAGGGCACTGGCCTGGTATTCCAGTTTTTTTTTTTTGTTTTTTTTTTTAAGATTTTATTCATCCATCTTGAGAGGGGAAGGGAAGGAGAGAGGGAGAGAAACAATGTATGGTTGCCTCTCGTGTGTCCCCCGTTGGAAACTGGCCTGCAACCCAGGCATGTGCCCTGACTGGGAATCAAACCGCGATACTCTGGTTCGCAGGCCTGCGCTCAATCCACTGAGCTACACCAGCCAGGGCTGTATTTCAGTTTTTAATGCAAATAGTCTGGAATTCTGGGTGGGGAGGAAGAAGCAGGAAATGGGGTCGTCTGAAGCATTGCTTTTCTTTTGAGACAAGACACTAGGCACCCTTTCCGAGATTTTTCATCCCACACCTCAGGCCCAATAGGTCAAGAAGAACTAGCAACTCAGTTACAATTTCACTGTGGTTTTGCATCAAAGCCTTGGGTGACCTGAGAAGAGGGAAGACAACTTAAAGGGAACATGGGGAGGGAGAGAAAGGAAGACTCAACATTCAGAGTTATTGTGACTTAAGGAAAGTCCATGAAGTTTAACCGACCTGTTTTTTTTTTGGTCTTATCACACTGGCCTCCTTACTGAGGAGCTGGCACTGGCTGGGCCCAAATGTGTGCAGGGTCGCGCCTCAAAGCCACCACCTCTGGAGCAGAGCAGGAGCAACCTACAAAAATGAGAAAAAGGTGACATTATGAGGGAGCCAACACCAAAAATGATCCCATCTCTATATTTCTCCACTTGATACCACCAGGAGGAACAAATTGAGAACAAAACATTTTCCACCCACTTTCTGCACTTCACAAGCAAAGCTCCCAGCTCCTAGGCTGATTCCACCCAGTGGTCCGTTAGCATCCAGCAAGAGCAGCGGCAGTCAAGTGGGGGTCTGAGACAGCCAGGAACTCTCAGAGCATGCTCCAACAAGGCCAACAACGGCATCACTTCAGAATGGCTTGGACCACTGGCTCCAGGTGGAGCTTCAAGAATCTTAATGACATGTTAATGCTGATGGGTGAAGGGCAAGACATCATTAACTACTATCGGAAACAGAAAGGAAAAAAAGAGCTGGAGAAAGTAAAAAACATGGAACGGCCCTTCAATGTAAAGAAGAATTATGTATCTTTCCTTGAGTTGTGGAAGAACTGTCCACAACAGTTCAAACAGGACCAAATACCTAGTTTTTTCTTTTCTGTAAAGAAGATGCAGAAAAACCACTCAAATTACATGTGCCCTTCAAGAGCCTGAGAATGTCTATTCTGGGTGCCAAGGGCCTCAAATGCCTGGCCGGGGAGAAAGCTGTGTCTGGCCCTCCACAAAGCGAGAGAAAACTGGGACGCAGCATTTCCCAGAGCGACAGCGTTTGGCCACTCTCTAGGTCTCTGGAAACAGCATCCCGTAGCCCAACTTAAAAGTGAAGAACTGGTAATAAAGACTAAGTAAAATGGACTGCCACACAGACAAAACCTGTTGAGCAATACTTGCTTGGTGTGTTTTCTCATGTCTATTCCCTTTGGGGGTGTCGAGAAAAGCTGCCCAGTCATGTGACGTGCCCAGTGACACGCCTCCGTGTGCACGGAGTCACTGAGCACCTAGGGCAGCAGCCTCTGCCAGACCCGCCTGCTGTGCCGCGGGGGGTGGGGCAGTGAGGGGGCCTGCCGAGCTGTTTCTGTTAGAAGCAGCCGCTCCCGGTTTCTGACGCTGTGACAGCGCCTCTCACTGCACACCTCACTGCTTCAATTCGCCATCTTTTTTGGGGGGGGCAGGGGGGCTTTCATTTTTTGAAAAGATCTCGGGATTTTGAACAAAGTACTGCATTTGTGTATAATATGCTCCCGTGTATCCTGTGCACCTACGTTTTTGGCCCAAACTTTCAGAAAAAAAAACTTTTCCTTTTAATGTTTTAATTCAATTATTTATTTATTTTTAGAAACAAAGCCGATTATTATATTCCAGGGTATTATTTTTCATGTGGATATTGTTATTGCTTTCTAGAGTTATACTTTTAATTCATAAGCATAAATAAAGAATTTTAAATTTTATATGGATACAGAATTAGTACTACCCATGTATAGTGCACATCCTTACTTTTCCCTCAAAAATTTGGGCAAAAAAAGTGCGCATTATATACAGCAAAATACAGTATGAAGAAACATTAAATAACTCATAGGGATAGCCCCTGAATGGGGCAAGGATCTGAGGAAAATTATGGACCCTCCCACAGAAATACGCATAGTCTCTACAGCTAACATTTTCTTTCCGTACTGGGAGAGCCAGGGATCCCAGAAACCCATCTGGGATAAGTGGAAGAAGAATCCTGGTTTTACTTGATATATAGTCCACGTTCCTTTAAACTATGAATTAAGTCAATTTTATTAAAATTCCTATGAGATTTCAGAAATACCGAACAAAATATCCTTTCAGATCATCTCCAGCCATCTAAACTTAAAGATGCCTAAGGCAAAGTAAAAAAAAAAAAAAGGTTTCCCAGTTATTATTTTTTTAATTAATGGCACATTTTGTTAAGAACAGAGTCTAGAGAGGAACTGTTGCATGCTTTTTTTCTAGAAACCACCAAGATCTCCAAATAACTGAACATTTTCTATAAGTAATAAAAACACATCAGAGACAAGTCTCTGAAATTTTTTCAGACTGTAACTAAGAGTATCAAAATTTGGACATATTCTCTCCCTTTATTTATTTTTATGGCTTTTAAAAAAAGATTTCATTTATTTATCTTTAGAGGGGAAGGGAAGGAGAGAGGAAGAGAAATATCAATGTGTGGTTGCCTCTCGTGTGTCCCCTGCTGGGAGCTGGCCTGCAACCCTGACTGGGAATCGAACCGCGGTTGTTTGGTTCGCAGGACCGCACTCAATCCACTGAGATACACCAGCCAGGGCTTTCTCGCTTTATTTTTAAAAAGACACTTTAAAAAGTCCAAGTAGCCTCTTAGTACACCTGGGGAAAGATGGGGAGGAAAGGGCCAACCTGACAGACTTGACCCTGAAACTTCGATCCTCTGATCTCGAATGTAAATAGTTCGAATAAGCTCGGTAACAAGAGTCGCTACCCTGTTTACTCTGGGCTCCACAAGGCTGGAGGGATTCACAGAACTCAGAGTGGAAAAGTACAGGACAGTTCTTGGACAAAAACCCAAGACGCCCCTCACTTCTATGAACACTACCTCGGGAGGAAAGGAAAAGAGGGGGAGGGGAAAGCCTGGTGACAGGGCCTGTGCCCTAGAAGATGACTCCTGTAGGGAAATGTGACAACACAGGCTGGGAGGGGGAGGCTCTGGCTCCTAAGGGAGGCTGCCTCATTTCTGGGTCCACATCCCCACACAGGCTTTGCCCAGGTCCAGTGGAAGTGGGATGACGTGGGGGAGAGGGCAGAGGTTCCTCTGTGAGGATGATGGGAGGGGAAAGCCAGCCTCCACCCACCACAGGAGATAAGGGACAATGCCGTGTAAAGCCTAGAAGATTAAGAAGCCGGTCCCTGGGTCCAAAATAGCAAAAAAAGAGATGAAAGATAAAAGGGAAGATAATGTAGAAACAAAGCTATCCAGTTTCTGAAAACCCTGCAGATTCTTAAGGTACAATCTAAAATCTGTCCTAAGGCCCCAAAGAAAGATGGCTAAGTTTGGATGCCTAGGATGACTGAAAAACCACCCGGCCCTGCCCCCGCTCCGGGCCAAATGACAGTGAACTTTACAAGACCAATCCAGGAGAGGGGCTGTGCTGGGCCTGCACCGAAGTCCTCGAATGCCTGGGATGGTTGAGCCACTGATTGGAACAGCCTTCACTAGATGGCCAGTTCCCCACGGCCCAGGACAGGCTGAGAGAGTTTAAGAGGAGTTTAGATACTAAAATGCTGTGAGCTACTATGGAGCTTCACAGCAACAAGGACATCTCTGGAACGATGGGCTGAGGCAGGAAAGAAATATTCTTCCCCGGTCTCGGCTAGCTGGGGCCAGAACCAAACCAGACTGGATGTCGCAGCGTGGCACTGCCCATTCTCCCCCGCCTGCCAAGCTCAGGGCAAAAACCGTCTCCTCTAACCAGGACGGCCTTCCATGTGCTCTGAGGCCTGGGACAGCTGCGATGACAGCTCTGAGTTCCAGGAAGTTGATGTGTTTCTTGGCTTAGGGTGCAGCCTCTGCCTTGGATTGGGCGGCACCCACGCAAGTCACCCTGCCCCAGCTGACATGAGCTTTGGTCCAAGGGGGCCTTGGAGGGTCACACTGAGTGGGTCCTGCACAAACAGGCACTGTGAGCTGCTCCACCAGTTCCGGGGACCGCTAAGAAGAAGGGGATGCACCCTTAAGTCCACATTCAAGACAGCAAAGTACGAAGGGGTGGGGAGACTGTAATCCTGGGACCCAAGTCTGGGCGTGTGGGCTTCCCCCTGGGCTGTCTTCTGATCTCTGCCTCAAGACTACAGGAAACACTCAGACTTTCTAACCTGTCATTCAAGGCCTCTTCTGGCCTTTTTGCTTTCTAGTCTCCACAGTTACCTCTGTTCAGTCTCTTCTCCCAGAACATTACTTCCCCCAACCCCTCTCTCAGGGGCCACTTTCCACATGCAGCCCAGCCTCCCCAATCCCCACTCACCCCAGGCTCTTAGTTCCAAACTTGAACTCTGAAGTAGTAGCACAGCTAACACTTTTTGAATTCTATGTATCACATGCTTTAATGTTTGTAACAAACACCCTGTGAAGTGTACAGAAAAGAAAATGAAGGTGTAGACATAGGCGAGAATTAAGTAACTTGCCCCAAACCCCATGGTGGTAGAACAATGTGAATCCAGTGTCTACCTCTGTTGAGTTTCTTCTGGGAAGAATTTCCAACTCCTAGCACAGGGCTTGAGAGAACAGATGCGCTGCCCACAGTCACATCCTCTGACTTCCGACAGTCACATTCTGAGTCACTTCTGCCCTTCCAGACTGTTCAGTGCCTGGCCTGCCACTTCCTTCTATCTCTAGGCAGGAAGAAGGAGCTCTCTCCTCCCACCTTCCCCTTTGCCTTACTCTCTGTGCAGGAGACAGCCCTGGACTTCCATCTCGGACTAAGAAGTTCATTGTGCAGGACAAGAGTTTGCAACCACTCACTGCCCTCACTGCACAAGGGGTGGGGAACTCCACATCCTGCACAGCCGGGTTCTAGAACTCGGGCAAGGAGACCGGAAGGAAGGAAGCCACCAGGCTCTGCTTGAGATGCCACACAGCCCAGTCCTGTCTGGGTGGCTGGATCTAACTGATCTACGAATGTGAGCTCGAGCTGAGATGTGACCTGTGTGCTCAGGTTACTTGTGCTTCCATGAAAATGGAAAGCAAACCTGGAAAAAAGGAACCTCTGATGGGGATGCCCAAACGTCAGGTACTGGGGTTCCAAAAATGTGTGTGCATGGGAAGTAGTGGGGGGCAGCTGACAGGGAGCATAGATGGTAGAGAGTGAGTAGCCAGAAGTGCACAGATCAAAAATTAAGCAAACACCAGGTTCTCAACACAGGGAGATCATTATGTGGTACTACACCTTAACTGTACATGGGGCTGAAAAATTCAGACCCAGTGGTCTGTGTGTCAGCTCCCAGGGGACTTGTCTTTTCGCAGAATTCTGGACAAAGGGCAACACCAAACCAAGGATCTCCCTGAAAAACCTTTCTGCCATAAAG